ATAGCACTCTAGGCTTTCTAGCCTCTTGGCAAGTTGCCTGTTAGGATTTGGGGATCTAAAGATCCATTACATTTTCATTTCAAAGATCATTATAACTTCTTCCCATTCAAATAGTGGTGAAAATGTCTCATGGATTTAACTACTGGCAGAAGTTTCACTAGCATCTGTGTCTAATACAAATGGGGTTTTGAAATACAGATCAAGATGGAAACAGTCAGAAGAGAGAGTTTTCAAATCTGAAAATGCTGTATCTCACTATTCATCACTACTAGGCTAAGTACAGACAGTCAAAAAGCCTGAGATTGAATCGATTCACTCTTTGCAGGTCAGTTTAAGCTGTGTAGATTGAACCGATAAGCAAGTGAACAGACGTTGACTTTTGATTCTGGAAATGCAGCCATATCACTGCAGTGGCCCAGGCCAGAAGCCTGGAGACACTAGAGCACACCTCCCTGCTCAGCTGGAACAGAAAGCTCGGGCCAAGTCTAGCCTGTCCACCCTGGGAGAGGGAGGTGTAAAGCATCCTGGGATGCTGGGGGACAGTGAATTAACTTGAACCTGGAGGGGACATGGGACAGGTCCATCCATCCATCCATCCATCCATCCATCCAGGTTTCAGCCATTTTGAAATTGGTTTATGTGCACTGAGCTTTTGATGTGTTTTAGATTTGACCCAGTTTCCAATCACTTTTACTGATTAATATGTAATTTCTGTCCCTAGTCTCAATGTTTTTCTTTGTGACTCAACCTGTGCCACAGTTTTGCAAACCCACAAATAACCTTCTTTAATAGGAGTAGAATCCTACAAAGCTGCACAAATGTATGAGTATCTAAAGAGTTGTCCAGTTCTGCACTGTTTTGATATTCCTTTTGTCCTTCCCTCAGTGACTGTGTGCTAAAGGTGAATGACCTTTTTTTTGGAAGAACTTGCTTTGCTTTGGTAAGCTAAGATTGGCAGCCTTTACCTTCACAGACCACTTGTAAATGCACCTGCTCTTGCTCAAAGGTCTTTGTCTGCACAAGTGTATTGCTTTAGCATTGCAAACAACACAGAAGGCTGTGAGGTATGCTGTACAGCACCATACCAATTAACTTCTCAAAAGTAGTGAGTGCATTGCATAAGCCTAGAGCCATAGAATGTTCTGCTCTGAACGCTGTCTTCCCCCTTCCTTCAGATCCATTTCCATTTGTCAACACCCACTTTTAAGAACCACTGTTTTAGGCTTGTCAGAAATATTCAGGAAACAAACAGGGGCTTGTTCCTGCTCCAGACCTACAAGTTGTCAGCTAAGATTCCCCAGAGTTCTTGGATTTCAAAGTAAGTTGCAACCACTCCCTATCCATCCTGTGCTGGAAAGCTACCACAGCATGTTGCTGCTATTCCAGTTTCTGCCCCTTGAGGCAGGATAACTCTTTCACTGAGGACCAGTTGCCTAGAAATAATTCGCTTCACTCAAGCCAAATCTTTAAATGGAATTTCTACAGGCTGAATCTGCAAGATACTGTTCCTGGCACTTATTAAGCAGCTAATAGCCATAATGAAATGCAAACTGATTATTAGCTTATTCGCTGTCTTAGCTAAACCAGCGTTCTTGCCTAAATACTCAAAGTCCAATATTTCAAACCCAGCTCTCTCAGTTTTTGGACAGGCACTTGTTCCCCAGTCACTGTTTCCATTTAAGGCCAAGAAAGTGGTTCTGTTTTGGACCCAACTTTCTGGCCTAATAACCATTAAGCATGATGCACTTAGGGCTCATCCTTGTATCACCATGTTGTGCCACTTTAGGTTGGTAACCCCATTTCCTGATGGCTGAGGAGCAAAAGCCTGTGACACCTGTGACACTGGCCTGGCTTTAGGGGAGGATCCAGGGTGAGTGTAGTTGTGCACTCTTTCGATACCAGTTCCACTCAAACTTTTACACAGACTGCCTAGGAGGGGCAGGCTGAGAGAGTTAATAGACTTCATGGCTCATTATCATCTATTTGATTCCTACTAATCTCTCTTGACTCCACAGGTGCTAATGACCCTTTATCCTTTTTTATCAATATTGTTCCACTATTCAAGCTATCCTTTCTTCTGTAATTTTGTTGTCTGTTAGCCACCCCTGGTAAGATCTCTTATCTGTTTCACAGCCCCACAGACTGTTTTTAGCTTTAGCTAAAAGGTGTGGTAATGTTAACTCGGACATAGAAATGACTGAGGATGGAGTATTGGCTCAAGGCTAGATTTTGTTTTATGAATCTGAATAAGGGATGTACATTAAACTATAATGACCAAATGACTAATGAGAAAATATCTTTTGACGATTTTGACTATTTTTGACTAATTTATGATGTTTTAAACTTTATATATAGTCTACAAAATTAGTGCACTTTCTAAGAGTTATATTTGTTCTTGCTTTGATCTTAAACTGAATAAGAGATTGCTAGCTCCTCACTATATTAGAAGAACTTCTAGTTCCTCTTTAGCTGGAGAAAACTGTATTGTGTTATATGCAATGATGTGCCACACCATCTGGACCCCCCCTTTCAAAATCCCAGATCCACCCATATCTGGCCTGTCTTATTATTTAACTGCCTTTTTCAGGGCCAGTATTTTTTTCCCTCAGTACCAGAATATAAATGAACTGTTTTCCTTAACTTTTACATTACTATTTATTTTCCTCCTTCTACAGTCCTGATTTATCACTGGCTCTAATCATTCCAAATTGTGATGAACTGGATTCAAATCCCCTTTTCCCTCAAACATTGTAGACAGGCAGGAAGGGCTTGTGGTCTTCACTTTTTCTCATAGTAGTGGCTGCATTTTCTGATGCATTGCTGCAGAGAAAGTTTGTAGTCTTGCAAAGTCCTTTATGGCCTCCTTTTGCTGATCTTGATTTGCAAGTTCAAATCTGGCTCATTAATATCTGGGTTGGTGTTCCCAGAAACACAAGGCTCCACAAATCTTTTGCTAGTTCAGTTACAGTCTCTTCTTTTTTGTTTCCTTCTATGTCTTATTTGGTTGCCTAGCTCAAAGTGTTGGCTGGCTCCAGTAGTTTGCACTACGTCTTGATAAGTCAGTCTCCCTTCTGCCTGTAGGTGCCTTGGTACCATCAGAGCTAGGCCACTGGTTCTGACAAGGACCTGCTTTCCTATCCGCTTATTTGTGCTAGGCTGTTGAAGAGTTCCATCTCCACCATCCACACCTGTGTTTCAATGAAACTGAATCCAGTCCAGAACAGTATTACACTATTACTACAGTAATAGTATTCTCATCCATCTCTTTGTTCAGTAGTCAAAGGAAATAACTTGGTAAATGCATACTCTTGTCACATGCCAGTATCACTTGCAATATGCAGTCTTCTTTGAGATCACGCTGAAGACAAAGTTTATAATCCAAGCTACTCAGCAATTCCCTTTTCTCTCTGGCAGCAAATGCTCCTAACACCCCTGAGAGCTCTGGAACCATCTCCCTAGCGCCCCCCCCCCCGTCCTGGATGCCCCTGGTGAATTTCTGTGCCCTGGGATTGTGTTACACAGGGTCTAAATAGTCTTATCTCTGGAGAAGTATTTGATTTCCTCAGTAACAGTAGGATCATCCAACTCCCCAGCTCTCCCTACTCCTAAATCCATATTTAGATTTTATGACTAAGTATTTAAAGCAGCCTTGCTGACCCTAAGCACACACACAAATTAGGAGTCAGGCTCCTAAACTCATGAGATTGTCTTAAGAAAAGCATGAGGTTGTTTAATGTGTGGAGGGGGTCTTCTGATGTGCTTTCTGGCCTTTAAATCATTGAGGCTAGTTACAGACATTACACTTTGACTGGTGTAAGCGATATGAGTCTGGTCTATATCTGTAACAGAAGTTGAGCACACAAGACTTGTCTATAACCATACCAGAAGTTCGGCACACAGGCTTTAAAACAACAGAACCCAGTCTAAGGTTTGTTCCTCTGAAAGGGCGAATATGTGCTGTGTTTGTTTGCTATCCATGAAAACTGCTCTGCTTACAGAAAACCGTGTAACTTGGATTGATTCTGCCTTGGACTTTTTGAATATCTCTACCTAGCCTTAAAGTAATTTCTTCCCACTTTTTTCCCCTGCCATCTGAGAGCTTTCCCCACCGAAAACCAGGGTCCTCAGGTGATCCCATGCCTTCAGGAGCTGCAGCTTTAAGGGGGGGAAAAAACTGAACTACCCTAAGCACTGGGAGAGTTGGCAACTCCCCTACCCACTTATCTCATTTAATTTGCAGTTGCAGTGTCGGATTGCAACTGGAATCACTGGAGAGGCACAAAATAACCCTGGCCCTGTATGAGTAGCAGGAGCTCTGAATAGTCCAGGAGAGCCTAAATGATCCTTCGCCTGCCCCTGTGCAGGCAGGAAGCAGCCCTGCAAGCCACCACCCCCTGCGCACACGCTGCTTTGCAGTGATTTGCAACGTGCAGGTCCCTGGCAGGTGCCTCCGTGCCAGGACTCCGTTTTCCTCGTTTCCATTGTGGGAGCAGGTAAATCATCCCGCTCCTGCGGGGCTCTCTGCATTTCTCCCCGGGCAGGCATCTCCGGCCTCAACAGCAGCAGGTCGGATCACGTTGCCAGCCCTGTGCTCGTACCGGCTGGAGACAGGATTAAGGAGGAGGTTTGTGAGGTGCCAGCGGTAGTGAACGTGGGCTGCGCACACGCGTTAGCAGTCTCGGGGGAGGAGGAGGAGGAGGAAGCACGAAGCACCAGACACTCGGAGCCGCGGGCTAGCAGGGGGGAGCCAATAGCACTGCACTTCCCTCCCATGTCCTCCCCCTGGGGAACCCACAGCCCTCTCCCGATCTGCCATCAGCAGCCTCCCACTGCAGAGGGAGGGATCTCTGTGGCGTCCAAAGGGATCCCGGGAAATAGCAGGGGAGCACCCGCGGGCGGCGGGGGGTGGGGTGTCACCCCATAGATGTCGCTTGTTTGGAGCTTCTGGAAATAAACAGGGGAAGAAGGAAGGAAGGGAGAGAGTGAAAGAGATCTGGCTACATTTATTTCTGAAAGTACTCTTTAAGGCACAACATAAATTAAAAAAATAAAAGAGGGCCGGATGTATGAGAGGAGGGGGACAGATGATTCATGTGAGTTAGGAAGGAAAAATGTGAAATTCACATTTCACACTGTGAATGCAGTTTCTACAATCCAGTTTCAGATCTGGCTGGAGACTGCTCCCAGACTCTGTTAGGAAGCAGGGAGTGGAGAGAGCCTGGCGTGCCCGGAGAGGGAGATCTCAGTCTCCCGGCGGGACTTGGCACACGGGGGAAGAAAAGGACATATGTTTCAATGCAACATTGTGTTGCTTTCCAGACAGCTGATGTGCAAGTCCCATCCTGTCAAATCGAGATCCAGCCCGCCCCCTCCTCCTCCTCCTTCCCAGGCGCTTGGCTGTTTTTCCCAGCCCCGGGTGACTGAAGCCCCGTCCTTCCTGCTGCGGGCTCTCTCCCCCACGCATCCCAGGAGCGGGCAGGCGCCCCCCGGCCAGCGGGAGGCTCGGGGGCGGGCTGCTGCCTCCCCGGCGGGAGGGAAACCTGCTCAGCTGACTGCCTGGCTGCTTGGAAGAGGGATCGCGGGGCCAAGCTGTTTTTCTTTTCCGGTCGCCTGGATCCGCTGTCCCCGCCTCCTCGCGCGCTGTGTCTCCTCTCCCCAAACCCCCCGTCTGGAGGCTGGATGGTACGCTCCGCACGTGAGCTGGGTGCTGGTCTGGCTGGCGACGCGCGTGCCCTGTGGCCAAACACTGAGCAGCGAGTGCAAAGTACCAGCCCGGAGTGCGGCTGGGAGCGGGAGGGAGGAGGGCACCGCACCGCTTCCCGCTTTCCCCGCAGCGCAGGAGGGACGGAGCCTGCATGTGCACGGTTTGGCCCCGCAGCCTCGCAGCACCCCGCGGCAGCGCCAGCCCTAACCCAGCCGCGGTCCGACATGGATGAAGGACTGGTGCGCCTGCAAGAGAGGCAGTTGCTGGAGCACAGGGATTTTCTAGGGTAAGGAGCCAGCCAGCCCGCTCCCTCGCTTCTCTCCCCAACCTCCCTCCTTCCTCGCCAAGTGCCCGCCTGCCTGCCGCACGCTGGCAAAGGCCGATCGGGCTGCACCGGGGGCTGATCCTTTCCTCCTTTCCAAGCCTCTTTGGATACGTGCAACAGTCTTGCACGTCTCTGCTCTCTGGAGCTGGCGCTACCTCTTCCTTTCCCCGCAGGGGTCCGTCATTCTGCTGCTACCGGAGCCCTCTTTCTGTTTTGCAGGCTGGACTACCCATCTCTCTATATGTGCAAGCCCAAAAGAGGCATGAAGAGGGATGAGAGCAAGGTAAGAACAAGTTTCACGATGCTCCTGGCTATGTGCTTCGCTGGGGTTCATTGATTTTTTTCGAGCCGGAGGATCTCTCTGCGATCCCTTCCAGCCTCACTTTCCTATGAACTCCCTCCCCCTCCTTCATTGTAAGCGGGCTGACCAGATCGGGCAGGGCTCTACCTTCCTCCTGCTCCTAGCGTGCGCTACATGTGGTTGGCACGGCATTTGTTTTTGTTTTGCTTGTCATCGCAAGTGTATCTAACGCTGGCCTTTTTCTTGCTTGTGCCCATCAGGAAACGTACAAACTGCCCCACAGGTTGATAGAGAAGAAGAGGCGGGACAGAATTAACGAGTGCATTGCTCAGCTGAAAGATTTATTGCCCGAGCATCTGAAATTGACTGTAAGGTAGAGAGGGAGGCAGCGCGCCCTCCCCGCGCGGGGGGGCGGGGGGAGGCGGGGGGACGGGACACGCGGGACCCGGCAGGCAAATGATCAAAAAGTGGAACCTCAAGGTTGGGGGTATGAAAGTTGTGGGGGATCAAGCTTGAGGGGAATAAACCCTGGGGGGGGATCAAGCATATGGGGAATCTAACCTGGAGGGGATCAGATTTAAGGGGGATCAAACCTGGAGGATCAAACTTGAGGGGATTCATAGATATTAGGGTCGGAAGGGGCCTCAGCAGATCATGGAGTCTGACCCCCTGCCCCAGGCAGGAAAGAGTGCTGGGATCAGATGACCCCAGCCAGGTGCTTGTCCAGTCTCCTTTTAAAGACCCCCGCAAGGTAGGGGAGAGCACCACCTCCCTTGGAAACCCATTCCGGATTCTGGCAACCCTTACAGTAAAGAAGTTCTTCTTGAATCTAACTGGGGGGGGTCAAATTTAGGGGGGATAAAACCTGAGGGGATCAAGCTTGAGGGGATCTAACCTGGGGTTCAAACCTGAGAGAATAAAATTTAAGGGGGATAAAAACTGGAGGTATTAAACTTGAGGGGATCTAACCTGGGGGTGATCAAACATAAGGGGGGGGCAAAAGCTGGAGGGGGGGATCAAGCTTGAGGGGATCAAACCTGGGGGCATTAAACTTGCAGAGGGGGGCAACTGTAAAGGCTTCCTGCTGAGGGGTATATCTGAGTTGGTAAGAGGCTGTGATGCCCCCACCCTGCAAGAAAACCTCTTGCCTCTCTGTACAACCAGCAGCTTTTCCATGACCCGAGTTGCCTGAAGTTAGGGCACAAAGCCACGCAGGGGTGCTGCAAGTCACCAAGCCTCTCCCCCCCCTCCCCGCTTTGCAGACTCTGGGGCACCTGGAGAAAGCCGTCGTGTTGGAATTAACTTTGAAACACTTGAAAGCTTTAACGGCCTTGACGGAGCAGCAGCACCAGAAGATCCTCGCCTTGCAGACCGGTATGGCGGGGCGGGATGCCACTGGGGGCTGGGACACCCGGTAACGGTGGTGATGGGGGGGCCGGGGCCCGCCGGATGGGCGGCGGCGCTGACCCCGCTCTGTGCCCGCAGGGGAGCGGCCGCCCAAGTCCCCGGCGCAGGCCGACCTGGACGCGTTCCACTCGGGCTTCCAGACGTGCGCCAAGGAGGTGCTGCACTACCTGTCGCGCTTCGAGAGCTGGGCGGCGCGGGAGCAGCGCTGCGCCCAGCTGCTCAGCCACCTGCACGCCGTGTCCACGCAGTTCCTGCTCGGCCCTGCGCCGCCGCCCGCCGCGCC